GTGGGTGGGTTTGGTGGGAGCAGGGTCCAACTCCAGCCAGGAGACTGTGTTTTTAGCACTTTGGTTGGTACTATCACCTGTAGACGCACTTTGATGTTGTTGCTTTGAAACTTTGGCAAGTGTAAACAATGTGTATCTAAAGAATTGCAGAAAAAAAACAACCCCTCCCCCCCAAAAAAATGTGTAAAGAGCTATTTTATGATTCAGTGTTGAATAAAGACTCTGGAGATTGAGGTGGGTTGTCACCTTCCTGGGGGTAACAGTGATCCCACACCAGCAGCACAGCAGTGAGACCAGTTGCTGTTTGGGGGTTACTGGAAGCATCCTCCATCACTCTCCCTGCAGCCATGTGGGCTCCGTTGGTCCAGCTCCATGGGGCACTGGGATAAAGTGGGATACAAAGTGGGAGGAGCACTGTGAGGGTGGTGAGGCCCTGGCACAGGCTGCCCAGAGAAGCTGTGGCTGCCCCATCCCTGGAAGCGTTCAAGGCCAGGTTGGATGGGACTTGGACCAACCTGGGCTGGTGGAAGGTGTCTCTGCTCATGGAACTTTATGGTCTTTAAGTTCCCTTCCAACTCAAATCCATGACTCTATGAAATTTCTTCCACTGTCCTCCATTAACATTTCCAAACCACCAGACCCAACTGCCTCCCTATTGCCCAAGAGCAATTTCCTGCCAGATTCCCCCAAAACTCCTGGATTCACCCCGAAGCACCCACACAGCCCTGGACCTGTCACACAGCTGTGCCCTGAACCTTCCATGAAGCAAAATGGAAGATGCAAATGCTCTATTAAGCAATAAATGCCCCCCAAAGTCAATAGAAATGTCACTGAGCAATACCAGAGATTCAAGACAGAGCACACAGGCACAGACAATCCATCCTAGACTCTGCTTGGAGTCTGTCCTGCTTCCCAGCACAGCTTTGAAATGGGGCAAAAACCATTTTGAAAGGTTTATTTTTAACCCTTAAAAGGGTAATTTAAAGGTTAACTCCCACCCTGAGCTCCCACCATGCAGAATGAAGCAGAGCACAGAGTAACCTGTTTGCCACCAAGACAAATTCCTCCTTTTATTGTGTCGGAGTTTGGGTTCCAAACCCTC